ACTAGGTTAGGGGCGAGTGCCACCCTTGTATTTAGGTTTGCTAGTTAGTGTAGGTTAGTTAGGGCGTCCCAAGACACTGAAGACCTTTTTGTTTGTGTTTTGCTTGGGTTAGATAGATTAGACCACACTATATTAGTTAGATTAGTTTGGTTTTGAAATTTTATTTTCTTTGGCACCACTCATGTTCTTTTTCCCTGTGCTGTCTTCGTGTGTTTGTATGTAAATATTGTAAACAGTCTTATATTTCATGTATTCACTTGTGTATAGGCTTGCACCTGATTTTCTTGTTTTGTCGTTATTTTATCCTGTTGATAAAAAAAACCTCCAGTCTCCAAATTGTTTTAATGCTAAACCCCTATATCCTGGGATCATAACAATGACCATAACAAACTAGTAAAACTGGCATCATCATAAGTATTCTACCCCTCTTACAAATCATCAAGGAGAGGGGTGACTGATGAATAGTGAGGTAGATAAGGATGGATGATATATTATGTCCTTGGAAAGATTGGACATGCTGACATAACACTGATGAAGGTGTACATACTGTATACACGTACACTGTATGTACGTGGTGTAAGTGTATATGAAGAAGGACACATCTTAATGTGCAAAGTTATTGGCAGGTGATGTTACAGGTATAGCTGTAAGTATTTTAAGACGATTCAATCTAATAGACCCTTAGACTTATGGTGAACAGTATATCCTAATGTTGAAGACTTGTCATGTGATTCTACATCATGTAGAAAGCTTTCTAGCAGGATAACACCAAACTAAGGCACCGGCATCTGCTGCATAATAAAAAACAACAATAAATCTTTATCGTAATTAATCAGGTTATTTTTACAACTTACAAGTCATCTCCAATATCTTCTAAAACAAACTGTGAGACTGGAACAGACAAAAAGTATTTTTTCACCGTAGTAAAGCATTTTTACTGCAGATGTACAGATGCCATCATCATAAACTAATAATAACAATGATCTCACACACCAAAATACAAGCTATAAATCAAAAGCTGAGCAAAACATATAAAAGTAGTTAATAATTAATAAGAATTGCTTACACTTTATATAGCAGACACTCTGGACACTCCACTCAAAGCTCTTTACAGATGCTGTGTCATACAAATGACAACGTTTAGGTGTCTGTGAAGCAGAAGTCTCTTTATTTCATATGCATATGGAAGACCGGCTTGCAACCACCGGACTTAAAAAATAAGTAGCTAAAGGTGGTCTTTTAAACCGAGCAACCAAGTTACTACGACACATTCTAAACACATGCCAATATTGTTATTAATTATATCTTAAGTTGCAGACTAGACAACATTGAGTTCTTTTCATGTTCTGGGCATAAAGCCAGCTAACCAAATACATGCCCTTTATCTTACTGACCAAGGATAGGCAGCATCATTATATATTTGGGCTCAAAGCCAACTTCAAGACACTAGACTACATAGTTTGCAAAAACACAAAAACAAAACATGATATTATCTCATCACAGATAATGGGGATCATTTTTCTAAAATGAAAAATTCTGGGTCTACAAAAAGCATTTGACATGGTATTAAAGACTTGTGTATTTGAAACTTGTAGGGAATTTGATTTTCATAATGGTTTAATAGCTTGGCTATATGCAATGCAATGTACAAACAAATGCACAAGAACAGGCTCATGGTATTCTGTTTAGAGAGCTTTAATTCATACAGGGGAACAAGATGAGGAGATGCTTGTCACCACTGATTTATTCTCTTAGAGTATACGACAACAGAAGGATACAGAGGGAGGTGATATAGCAGGAGAAGCACACAATCAGGGTCTTTATAATGATGATGTCATCATATACAGGAGAAATTCAACTTTTCCTGTTCTCACAGATGTAATCACAGACTACAGCAACTTTTCAGAATAGGAATTAAACAAAGGAAATTCTGAAGCAATGTTATTGGGGAATCTATATCCCTGGAGATCAAAAATAAAATTATTGTACAATAGGATTGCGATAAGATAAAATGTTGAGCAATTTCAATACCCAGAAACTTAGAAAACATTAAAATGTAACTAAAAGGAGTTAGAAAATCAGCTGAAGGAAGACTTCAATAGATGGAAATTGATGCCTCTCTGGCTCTCGGGATGGACTGAGGCAACAAGATTGAATGTACTTCCAGGATTTCTGTCTTGTTCCAGACCTTCCTTATGCCTCTCAATGACCACTGCTAATACATCTATTTCATGTGGTTTAAAGTCAGGGACCAATGCTAATTCTCTCAATCTCTCAAAAAGACTATTCCTTTCTACAGTATATTTTTTTCATAATACTCTTTTTCTTTTATGTGATTGATGTATTAAAATTGCTTAAATTATTTATTTTCACAATGCTTCGAGTTAAATTAAGTATAAAACAAGGTTTCAAGTGAGATGAATACCTCTTCACCATTTTGCTGGAGAGCTGTTACTCAGGTAGTTGAAGCTTTAAGCTGAGCTCCACAGAAATAGGACTGTAGATGAATAATAATAATAATAATTGCTTACACTTATATAGCACTTTTCTGGACACTCCACTCAAAGCACTTTACAGTTAATGGGGACTCATCTCCACCACCACCACCAATGTGAAGCATCCACCTGGATGATGCAACAGCAGCCATAGTGCACCAGAACACTCACCACACATTAGCTATCAGTGGGGAGGAGAGTAGAGTGATGAAGCCAATTCATAGATGGGGGTTATTAGGAGGCCATGATTGGTAAGGGCAAATGGGAAAATTGGCCAGGAAACCAGGGTTACATCCCTACTCTTTTTGAGAAACACCCAGGGATTTTTAATGACCACAGAGAGTCAGGGCCTCCGTTTTACATCTCATCTGGAGGATGGTGCCTGTTTACAGTATAGTGTCCCCATCACTATACTGGAGCATTAGAACCCATGTGGGCAGCAGGGTGAACACCTCTTCCAGCAGCAACCTTAGTTTTTCCCAGGAGGTCTCTCATCCAGGTACTGACCAGGCTCACACCTGCTTAGCTTCAGTGGATTGCCATTTGTGAATTGCAGAGTGATATGGCTGCTGAGGAGCTAGGATAGATTTGGGAGAGTTTGAGTGGTGTAGGTTTTACCTGAGATTTTCTTCCCTGCCAAATAAAATTAGAGAAATTTGACTTTATCTGACATTACAGGGATAAGTTTATACTATCACTTAATTGACAACGAAGGCAGTGTGGCATTTGAACACCATCAATATCACTTTTATTAATCAGTTACCCAATTCAAGGTCACAGTTACCCAGAGCCTGTCCCAAGAAGCACTGGACACAAGGCAGGATTGAACCCTGGACCGGATGCCAGTCTATCAAAGAGCACACAACCACACCAGTGCCAGCTTTCCCAGAAGTCAATTAACCTACCAGCATGTTTGTGGACTGTGGGAGAAAACTGGAACACAACACAAACATGGGGAGAACATACAAACTCCATACAGATAGCACCCCAGGTCTGGAATTGAACCAAGGGCCCCAGTGTGATATCTCCTGCATTGAGCTGATGGAAGCAGTAACCTGGAGACTGAATCCAGGCAGAGGCTCTACTGGAAGCAAGCAAGGCAGGCAGGAGAAAATGAAACCAGAGACACTATCGAAAAGGCAGGGGTTGAGTTGAGAGGAACTGATTAAAGCACCAGGGAGAGTCTGAAGGAGAGTCGTTTAAAATGCAGGGTAAAAATTCAAAGCTGAGAAGAAGTAATTGAGAATCTAAAGAGATTAATACATTGATCACAGAATGAAATCACAGAATGAATGCAAGAGTTAATAGTACCATTCAAATGAGAAAAAGGACGTTGGCACTTCCATAGCAATTGAAGAATTTAAAACCATTCAAATCTGTATAAATCCAGCAATTCACATTAATGGAGAGAGTACAAGTAAAAAGTTCATATTCAATATTAGAAGAAAGACAAACTGCAATCCAAATGTGATAAATTTAGAAGCACAAACTGTTGGAAGAATGGAACACCAGGCATATCATAAACATTTTTGGTATGAAAATAAACTGGCTAAAGAGTCTTGAAGACAAACAGGGACAAACACCGGATGAACAGATTCAGAGGCAGAAAGATACTTGTTTAGCACTGTCAGAACTGCAGCCATGAAATAAATCACTAGAAACTGGTTAAAGCTGGACAGACCTTGTGTTCAAATGAAGAAGGACTCTATGAATGAAATCTCATGAAGAACATTACCAACAGAATTATAAATCAACAACAACATATACATATGTGTAATAAATTTGGCAAAATGGAAAATATTGCATGTCAAGTCTCTCAGTAATGAGATATTAACAAAGAAGCCAGAGACAAGAACTTGTGTAAAATTGTGTAGCAGTTTTTTGTCCTTCTATATGCCCTCCTTCCTTTTTGTTTTGTACTTCTTAGATGTTAAATTTTTTATGCATGTGAAAAAGCTAATATTGTCTTTCTCAGAATATCTTCATAAAACAATAAAAACAAAGTAATCACCAGTGTTCACTTACCTCAGTGTTGTTAATTTACAGTTGGGATCCCTCAGAGCTGCAGACAGCAGTTTCACTCCTGAATCCCCCAGGTTATTGTCACTCAGATCCAGCACTGTCAGACTGGAGTGTTGAGACTGAAGAGCAGAGGCCAGATCTTCACAACATCTCTCTGTTAGTTTACAGTCCTTCATCCTGCAGACAACAAGACAGGAGCACAGCTGAACATCTGCACAGCTCTTCCACATCTTTCTTTCCAAGTCTTCACTACAGCACCCAGCTCAGTAGTAATATACAACATCATGTCATTATCCATCTCAGAGTGTCCATGGATGAGGAAAATGAAGATAACACCTGCTTCAAAATTTGGGTTCCAGGAGGAAGAAGAAAGATGAGAAGAAATTGTCAGGAAAGGAGAGTGGGAAACAGAGACATTCGGAGCTACACAGGCAAAAATGAAACCAGAGGCACGATCGAAAAGGCAGGGGTTGAGCTGAAAGGAACTGATTAAAGCACCAGGGAGAGTCTGAAGGAGAGCCATTTAACATGCAGGGCTCAAAGTACAGGGATCAGTCCAAGATGTGGTCAAACAGGCAAGGTCAAAGTACAGAAAGATAGGGGAAAACACTGGGAAAATTCAAAGCTGAGAAGAAGTAAATGAGATTCTAAGATGAGAGATTAACAAATTGATAAATGTTGCATACCTAACTTATTTCCACAGCTACATCCTTTCAGATGTATATAAAATATCAGAAAATACAGGAGGAAAACAAGAGTAAGACGCAATTGAAAAAAGGAGTTTGGCACTTTCAAAGCAATTGAAGACTCTAAAACTGTTCAAATCTGCATATATCCACCAATTCACATTCATGGAGAGAATATGAGTAAAATAAATACATTCAGTATTGGAAGAAACACCAATTACAAGCCAAATATTATAAATTTGGTAGCACAAACTGTTGGAAGAATTGCGGGGAAAACCTGGCATATTATAAACATCTTTTGGAATGAAAATAAATGGGGGAAAGGTTCTTGAAGAAATGTAAAAAAATCGTCATTAGGAGTCAAACACCAGCTGAACTGCCTTCAAAGGCAGAATGATACTTGTTTAGAACTGTCAGGACTGCAGCCATGAAATAAATCACTAGAAACTGGTTAAAGCTGGACAGACCTTGTGTTCAAATGAAGAAGGACTCTACGAATGAAATCTCATGGAGAATATTACCCACAGAATTATAAATCAACAACAACATATACATATATGTAAAAAAGCTTGGCAAAATGGGAAATAATGTGAGTTGAGTCTCTCAGTAATGAGATATTAACAAAGAAAATAAAAATAAAAAATCGTTTGCACAGCCTAAGAGGGGGGGTCTGCTCTCATTGACAGCTGACACCCCTCCATACACTCAAGTGAAAAATTAATAACGCCAATGTAAATGTCGTATTTATAATTTGTTGATAATAAAAATGTTAAGTTCTCTAAAGCTTTCTCAGTCAAGTATGATAATTTACCTAGGGAGCTGTGTAAGCATGCGTAGGTAGCAAAAGATCAGCTAAACTGGGAAGATGCTACACCGAAGATATTATTAATAACCTTTTAAATCTGAAGGGAGATCTACTGTATATAATTGTGTAATAGTTTTTTGTGTTTCTAGATGACATCCTTCTTTTTTGTTCTGTACTTCCTAGGTTTTTCTTTTCTAATGCATGTGAAAAGGGGATGTTCTGCGTCTCAGTATATCTACATGAAACAATAAAATACAAATAAATCACCAGAGTTCACTTACTTCAGTGTTGTTAATTTACAGTTGGGATCCCTCAGAGCTGCAGAAAGCAGTTTCGTTCCTGAATCCCCCAGATTATTGTAACTCAGATTCAGTTCTCTCAGACGGGAGTGTTGAGACTGAAGAGCAGAGGCCAGATCTTCACAGCATCTCTCTGTTAGTCTACAGACCTCCATCCTGCAGACAAAAAGACAGGAGCACAGCTGAACATCTGCACAGCTCATCCACATCTTTCTTCACTCCAACACCCAGCTCAGCAGTAATATACAACATCATGTCATTATCCATCTCAGAGTGTCTGTGGATGAGGAGGATGAAGATAACAGCTGCATCAAGTTTGGGGTCAAGAAGGAAGAAGTAAGATAAGAAGAAACTGTCAGGAAAGGAGAGTGGGAAACAGAGACATACGGAGCTACAATGACTGGAAAAGGGAAACAGAAAGAATTAATTTAACTTTTAACCATAATGAAAATTGCTTCACATTTATTATTATATTTTATTATTATGTCATCTTCTTATAGTTATTTTTAGTTAATTATAGGGTTGTTGTTTTACTTCAAATGGTTTATTAATCCATGTTGATTACCAACACTAGAGTAAGTAAACTGGAGAGTTTTTATTGTTGTTTGTAGATATGTTCAGAAAAACAACATTCTCATTTGAAAACAAAACAAGGTTTTAAGCATAACAACACATAAAATAATATTAATAATGTGAAGAAATAAACAGCATACACACACACAACCCCTATATGCTGTACAAATCCCACTAAAAAGAAAAACAAGTAAACGATAATGAAACTAAACAAACCCCATTCCTCCCAAAAATATACAACACAGCACACTGTGACGCTCTACATAGACTCTCACATGTACAGTAACATAGTCAAAACACACCGACACCTTCAAACGAGAATCTACAGTTTAACTGGAGGCACCATGGGCGACTGATTTTTTTATTTGAAAAAAAAAATCAAAAATAAGAAACAATGACATTTCCCTGCCTAACTTAGGAATTGCATGACTTTAAAAGCTATAAAAAATGGGTTTAGTTAAAAACACTTTTTATGCGCACAAAAACAGGTGATTTTTCTTCCTCGTGATCAGCTTGGAAACTTATGCTGTAAGTTACTTTTTAATTAAACGTTTAAAACACTTGAATTTCATAAACACAAAGAAAAAAAATATTCTACTATTTTCCTATGGTATGAAGCAGATCAGCGGGTCTTTTTCTCAGTCTGAGAAAATAGCTACCCGCCCACTGTGCTCGTCAGAGAAGAGGGAGGAGGCGCGGAGCTAAGCCGTCTGCAGCCTGGAATGCTTAAGGCACAGATCGCTTCTACCTTTATAATTTAGTTTTTAAAATTAAGCAACGTAAATCATTTTCTTTGACTTCTAAGTCCTTTCATTAGCATTAAGGATAGCTATGTTCTCACCAATTAGATCTATTTTTTAAACCATTGTTAAACAAATCAGGAGTTAATTGTACTTCCTAATGACATGACGTGGAAAGATTATAGATTTTAATCGCCTTTAGGTTTTTATCAGTTTTAGCAAAGTGTTATCAAAACAAATACCACAAAACTATTCTTGATTGTATTTCTAAATGTTATGTCTCACTTAGTTCAATATTTTAAATTCAAGTCATTGTTCAAATGTACGTTAAATCCGAGTATTGGAAAATAAGTAAAATACAATTAGTAAAAACCAAAATAGGGTAAAATATTTTAAAATATTTTTCTATCAACAAATAATCAATTATTTTAATTATCTTAAATGTTTATAACAATTAAATGTATTCTAATAGCACCAGATGTCTCAGTGGCTTTCAAAATTAAATTATGCATGCAAATCTCTGAACTAGAAAGATAACTAAGCTATCCACCCATTTCTAATTGTGGCACAGTGGTTAGCATTGCTATCCTGCAGTGCTAGGGCCCCAGGTTCAAGTATGTGTGGAGTTTGCATGTTGTCTATGGGTTCATGTAGGTACTCTACATGTCAAGGAAACTATTGGTAGAATAGGAGGATCCTTATGTGTAACCGTGAATTCCACAGAACGCGGAGTAGCACAGGGACAATCCAAAAGACAAAATCCAGGGGCTTGGTCGAATACGGAGGCAAAGGGTCCAGTGACAAGATAAATCCAAAAGACAATCCAAAAGACAAAATCCAGGGGCTAGGTCAATTAGGGAGGCAATGAGTCCGGTAACGAGACAAATCCAAAAGACAATCCAAAAAAACGGCGCAGGCAGGTGAGGAAGAGGGACGGATGAAACCAGATTCCAAGGATTCCTGAATATAGTCCTCCATCTCCTGAGTTTCATCGTGGGAGAGTGAATAGACATGGCTCTTAGGGGGAAGAACCCCTGGAATTACTGTGGGTCTATGGGACAGTCAGACAGGCGATGAGGCGGGAGGGATAGAGCCTTCTGTTTACTGAAGGCTAGGTGTAGATCTGAGTAGTGGAAAGGAATTTTGGAGAGGTTATCTTGAGAAATACAGGAGACGGAAACTTTCCGAAGGAGCTGACAACAATGCGAAAGGCAATGGGAACCCCAGGCTGTGAGTTCTCTTTGTGACCAGGAAATGTGTGGGTTGTGCGTCTGTAACCAAGGGAAACCAAGAACCAGTGGGTGAGAAGGGGACTGGATGAGAAGGAATTGAATGACTTCCTTGTGGGTGGCACCGATGCAGAGAGTAAAGGGAAGGGTCTGCCACCTCACCAGACCAGGGGAGAGAGGGGAGTCATCAAGAGTGAGGAGCCGAATGGGAGGGGTGACTGGCAACCGGGGAATGTTCCAGGATGAAGTGAATACAGAGTCTAGGAAGTTCTCTTCTGAGCCTGAATCAACAAAGGCAGAGAGAGAGAGATCTGTCCTGTAGTCCATGAAAGGGTGGCTGGGAGAAAGAGTCCGGACCTGGAAGAGGAAGAAGTGACACTGGCTGTAGCACTGGGTGGATAGGAGCGGGGAGGGCGACTGGGGCAGGAGGCTCGGAGGTGATCAGGGGAACCGCAGTAAAGACAGCGCCGGCAATCTCTCTCCTCAGAAGTCAGTCTATGGAAGGAAGGCAGTTGGGAGGGTGTGGGAGGGGTTCGATTGTCAGACCTCCGCTGTTGAAGCCTGATCTCTAGTTCAAATACTCAAGAGATGAAGGCTTCAAGTGGTGGGAAGTCCAGAGGCAGGTACACCACGTGATCCTTGAGTTCATCAGATAATCCGAGGCAGAACTGGTGAATCAGGGCATCGTGATCCCAAGAGAGTTGAGTAGCCAGAAAATGGAATTCTAAAGCGTAGCCCTGAAAAGAGCAAGATCCTTGAATGAGGGAAGTGAGACGTGCAGCAATAAGGTGGCGAGAGTGCAATTGCCCAAAGACTGATTGTAAAGCCATCTTGAAAAAGGTGGATGTTGGCAGTCTCCGTAGCGATTTGAGAGAGGAGACGTGCAGCCCAATCCAGAGCTTGTCCAGTGAGGTAAGATACCATAAAAGCAATTCTCTCTCTATTGGTGGGGAAGCTGTCTGGGAGGATGTGGAAGGTCATCCAACATTGAGTCAGAAAGCCCTGACACTTGGAGGAGTCACCATCAAATTTTTCCGGGAGGGGAGGGGGTAGAAGATTAATTTGTGTTTGAAGCGGGGGTACAGGGACAGGAGCTGCAGGTTGGGGAAGCGGTGGAAGTGCAACGTGGTCAACTAGTTGCTAGACTGCTGTAGTTAGCAGGCCCAGGTTCCGGGAGTGTTCTTGGAGAATAGAAAGTTGATTCTGGTCCACGGGATCCATTTTAATAAGGCTCACTGTTCTGTCAAGGAAACTATTGATAGAATAGGAGGATCCTTATGCGTAACCATGAATTCCACAGAACACGGAGTAGCACAGGGACAAAAGACGAAATCCAGGGGCTTGGTCGATTAGGGAGGCAATGAGTCCGGTAACAAGACAAATCCAAAAGACAATCCAAAAATGAAATCCAAAAGGTCAAAAGGCAGGCGCAAAGATTTAGTACCAGGAGATCAGTCAAAAGGCTTAGAAATGCACACAGGAGAATACTACTACAGGCTTCTCAATAGTGAGCATGGGTAGGTGTGTGAGGGAAGTTTAAATACTGAAAGGAAAGGGATGTGGTAGGATAATAAGTTCGGGAGTGAGAATTTGTGGAATCTAGTGCACGTGGGAATGTGATTCAATTAGGAATGAGATTGTGAAACAGTGGTTCTGGGAATGCAACGCCATTTGCGAGGGAGAGTGTGGGGTGTGACAGGAATGGAACGGCGTTTGCGAGGGAGAGTGTGGGACGTGACATACAGGTACCTACAGATGCAGCCATTCAAAATGCGCGGGCGATACCGCATTTTTTCCGGTACGCTGTACGCAGTCTACCTTAAGCTACCGGTAAATACCGCTAGCTACCGTAAATTCTCCTATAATACAACAAGCAAAATAATAGTATCCGGAATTTCCGCAATGTGGAGCTAATAAAGCTCAACCTCTCATGTTTGAGCTGTGGCCATCAGTCTTTAACGAAGATATTACTAATAGTATTAATAATGAATGACCTTGGACAAGCTGTAAGTGTAAACTCAAAGTATTGCCCTGGTCAACATTCTT